TTTCTGCAGTCATATTTACAGACGCTGAAGAGCCAAATGTAAATTGGGTAGAGCTGAAACTTTTTACGGATGTAACTGGTATACTAGAAGAAGGAAGAGACACAACTGGTGAAGTGATTACATTAGGGAAATTAGGTTTTTTGGTCTCGCAAGCTTCACAGTACTGCATGTCAGCAGAATTACTAATATAACAGGTTGGACATGACCATGATCCAGATTTGTGTGAAAATTTAAAAGCAAATGGTTTAGATCCAGGAGAACTGCCAGTTGAAGGATTATTTGGACTAGTTATAATCTTAGCACTACTATTTTTTACTAATCTAATTGCTTTCTAAAAAGCTTCTTTATATGCTAAGGCGAGCTCTGATGTTTTAAATCGGATACAAAATTATTCCGGTTTAAGTTCTTCATCAGCAAAATCTTGAGCAACCCATGTCCAAGCATGATCAGATGTTTTCAAAGGTTTAATTTCCATGTCAGGAAGAATATAATGGTTAGCACGAACTTTTAATACCTAAAAATAATTAATGAAATAAAATAAGCATAATTATATGAAATGAATATGATATAAACTGCATTATATGCATTATTACTGCATAAGTCAATGGTTAGTCTATTGAATATCTCAGTAACAAAATAAAATTATGGTAAACATTCAACTATTTGATCTAATGTGACTATAGGATAGGTCATATTCGGCTTAGATAAGATAGAATTCAGAGTATGAAAAAGTTGTCTAAGATCTAATCATGAATATCTCAGAGAAAGGAAAAAAAATTAAACTTGAAATTTTAATCAAAATTCCAAATAAATTTTTTTNGCATGTCAGCAGAATTACTAATATAACAGGTTGGACATGACCATGATCCAGATTTGTGTGAAAATTTAGAAGCAAATGGTTTAGATCCAGGAGAACTGCCAGTTGAAGGATTATTTGGACTAGTTATAATCTTAGCACTACTATTTTTTACTAATCTAATTGCTTTCTTAAAAGCTTCTTTATATGCTAAGGCGAGCTCTGATGTTTTAAATCGGATAGAAAATTGTTCCGGTTTAAGTTCCTCATCAGCAAAATCTTGAGCAACCCATGTCCAAGCATGATCAGATGTTTTCAAAGGTTTAATTTCCATGTCAGGAAGAATATAATGGTCAGCACAAACTTTTAATACCTAAAAATAATTATTGAAATAAAATAAGCATAATTATATGAAATGAATATGATATAAACTGCATTATTAGAAAGTGAATGGTTAGTCTATGGAATATCTCAGTAACAAAATAAAATTACGGTAAACATTCAACTATTTGATCTAATGTGACTATAGGATAGGTCATATTCGGCTTAGATAAGATAGAATTCGAATATGAAAAAGTTATCTAAGACCTAATCGCATGAATATCTCAGAGAAAGGAAAAAAAACTTAAACTTGTAATTTTAATCAAAATTCCAAATAAATTTTTTTTCAATATTTTTTACAAAAATTTAAAAATACATAGTAGAATCATTGATAACTTGGTCATAAAAGTGTCGTAAAAATAGCTTGAGAAACAAAGAACTGAACTGTAACTAGATTGATGAAACTTCAGATAATACATGAAGTAACAAAATTAAAAAATGCTAGAAACTATTTCTAATGCAACAACAAAAAATCAATGAAAAAAGAGACGATAACACTGATTGTCTAGTGGATGACACTTTAGGAATTACAAACCGTACTATATTGGACATGATGCTCCTCGAGCTTTGTGACCTTGATCAAATTACAGTTGATAATTTACATTTCAGATACTATAGAAAACATTCTGATGAGACTTATACATTGCTTTTAATCTAATTATTCTGAAACATTTCAACAAATAATGATAAAGTAAGATTTTATTTATGTTAACTTTTATAAAACTTTCAGAATTTAAAATTCCAACAATTGAAAACACCTGAAAATTACCTTTTAGGCCAGCATGTAGTGTGGGGAAATGATTCTACCTTCAGAACAAATTGTAAATCTGAATTGGCTGCATAAGGAAGTTCAGTAGTAGAAACCGAACTTGATACTGTGATCGATGCTTTATCTGACAAAAAGTCTATTTCCAGTAAAGCTTCTTCAGGGTCCTTCTCCTCTGCAGTTTCAAATATGTAAAGAACACTATCTTCAAAGCGCATATGTCTTTGATCCCAGCCATGTTTGTTAATTCTAAGAAAAAGACAAATAATTGTATTAATTGAATGTAAGTAATTAAAGAATAAATTATGATCAATTTTGGTTTAAATTAGAATGTTTATTCAGGTGCTCTTAGGTATTGTTCAAGAACTATTCAGAAGTTCTATTTATTACTTTTTACTATGAAAAACTAAAATAACAGTTAAAGAAATAAATTTGCAAACTAACAGAAATATGATAGATACAAACTTGAAATATACAATGTTTAACTTATTACAACCTTGTATACTAAACCATAACATTTGATGAAAATTTAAACAAAAATTTATAGTAAATAACTAAAGGAATTCATTTGGCAGATGGTCTGGCAGAAATAAAGTAGATTTGTCTTGTAATTACTATGCAAAATTAATACAGTAGTTCACTTTTAGTATAATAGTCCAAGTTTTAACTATTCATTAATTCACAATTGTTTGTTTGGAGCTACTGTATTGTGATAAAAACAAATGTAAATAGTAGATACTAAGTTTACACTTACCTTGGCACTTTTATCCATCCTTCTGATATGTTTGGAATTTCTTCAACCTTATCGACTGACAGAGAATTTCGGTAATCCACAGGTTTTTGGCAATGATGAAGCACATTTTGGGTAACATTCTAACCGACATTCTACAAAAAATAAAAATAATAAATTAGGATAAAATTAATATCTTATAATGAATAAGACTTGAAAATTATATTATCTAATCCATAAATTACAATTCAGGTAAAAAAAAAAAAAAAGAAAAAAAAAAGAAATTGATCAGGCATGTATTTGTTATCTTACATGCATCACCAGATATTTAACTCCTTAATTAGAAATAACATTTAAGTGTCCCTTCTAATTTTAACAATAATGAACAGATAAGTGGCACCAAACTAGAAAGAAAAAAAATTGACCTAATAAGATAGACTTAAATGTTACTGAATTATGTACTTAAATATTTAATAAACAAAGTAAGCTTAATCTTTTTTACTGAAATGTGAAAGTCAGAAATTTGAAATGTGAAAGAGCTTTGCTGTTTTTATAGCTATTACTTAATATTTTCAAATACGTAGTGAACATTCAAAAAAGAATGTTTCAAGACTAACATGCCCAGTATGGCATGTAAAAATTTTAAGATTTTTCAAGCTCTTTGCATATAGCTGTTATTTACCAAAAAGTATAACCTTGAATATAAGATATAGAACAATTTCAACCAGGAAAAAAATTAAAACCTTATGTTCTTCATTATGAAATGAAAAGCGTGATGCATGTCTGGAAATAAAGCTCTATGACATTCTCTTTTGCAAGAAATAGTGACAAAAC